AAAATCTTCTAATTAATTATTGATGTGACCTTTGAAACTTATTTTGTCACTATCCCTTATTCCTCTATTTTGGTTAGAAGAGAGATAAGTGTCAGCTCCTCTCTCTAACATTCATAGCTTATGTGCCCCCACTACTTAGAGGAACTTCTGGCAGGAAGGACTTAGCCAAGGGCAGTCTTAATCCTGGTTCTAAGACCTATACATAAGGAGAGGAACTCTAAACCTTTTCCTTAGCTGAATGACCTGGTTGGTAACTGGTCTTAGACTGAGAATGGAGATATTATGAAGGGGGCTGGGATTTTCCCATTGATCCTCCTACTTACAACTTCTTCCCCTCCATTCTCTCATCCACAGCGGCCTTCCTCACCCAGTCTGTTTGTCTAGATGACACAACAGTCAAGTTTGAGATTTGGGACACAGCTGGGCAGGAGCGATACCATAGCTTGGCCCCCATGTACTACAGAGGTGCCCAAGCTGCCATTGTGGTTTATGACATTACTAATCAGGTAAGTGGGCTGTGAAGTTTCTTGCTTTTATTAATAGGAATTAAATTAGGTGGGGAAGAAAAAACAAGTTCTTGAAATGGCAAAATAAAATAAGAGTATAAATTCTACTCCCAAGTGCTGGTAAGACAGAGGTAATGACACAAGTGGTTTCAGTGAGGGAAGGTTGCCTAGAAGAGGTGAGTTTTGAGACAGGGTTTTGAAGGTGATGGGCCTGGGGCACCTGGCTGGCTCAGTCGGTGGAACATGTGACTCTTGATCTTGGGCTTGTGGGTTCAAGCCCCACGTTGGGTGTAGAAATTACTTAATAAAATCTTAAGTTAAAAAAAAAGAAGGTGATGGGCCTAGATTGGCAGTCATTCTAGCCTACCTTCTCTTCCTCATGTTTTCCTAGGAAACCTTCGCCCGGGCGAAGACATGGGTAAAGGAACTACAGCGACAGGCCAGTCCTAGCATCGTTATTGCCCTGGCGGGGAACAAAGCTGACCTGGCCAATAAGCGCATGGTGGAGTATGAAGTAAGTTGGCCCATAGAATCCCTCTGTAACACCCTCCCTCTGTACTTGGGCACTTCAGTCCCCAAACCTGCCCTCTCTGAAAACCTCATCTGAGGACATTTATCATCTCCATTCCCCAGTTCCACACCAGGCTAAATACAACAATACTGTGACCCTAATGACAGCCAGGAGATTTTAGAGGAGTCAGAAAAAAACTTCAGAGCAGAGGCGTAGGGGAGTACCAGCTATAGGGGTATCAATGTGAAAACAGGAAAGAGGGAGCAGGTGAATTTGAGGTAAAGGACTATTCAAGTGTCACAACCTAAAAGCCCCCAACCAATTTACCTTCTCCCTCATTATCAAGATTCCTGATATCTGCTTGTTGGATTAAATGGTCTAGACCATGAGTTATCCTTGAGGAAGTCGTCACCAAAATATGAGTCCAGAGCCAGCTGGCTCAGAGGGCAATTAAACCTAGGATACTACCTAGTTCTGGTGCTACATGGAAGTGGAAAGACAGTACTTGTTCCTGTCTTACATTCTGAGTACCAGTATACCCACCCCTTGCAGGAGGCCCAGGCGTATGCAGATGACAACAGCTTATTGTTTATGGAGACTTCAGCCAAGACAGCTATGAACGTGAACGACCTCTTCCTGGCAATAGGTAAGGTCAGAACAGCCTGGGGTCTTCCTGTCTTTTTGCCTTGCCTCTTGGCAAGATCACTAGCCCAAGTTGTAAAGACAGAGGGGAGTGTCTCCTGCTGTGAAAACTAGGTATGGAAATAACTTTCCATTATGACTTCCATCCTTTGGCTACAGCTTTAGCCCCCATCCCCCCACATCTTTAATGTAGTTTACAAAAGTGAACCTTCCCCTCTTCAAAACATTCTTTTAATCTCTCACATTTCCCCTTTCCCCATATCACTCCCCCACCCAATAGTCTTTTTGGAGAGATGAGTAAAATCTACCATACTTTTTTCCCTTCTCTTTTTATCTCTAGCTAAGAAGCTGCCAAAGAGTGAACCCCAGAATCTGGGGGGTGCAGCAGGCCGAAGCCGGGGTGTGGATCTCCATGAGCAGTCCCAGCAGAACAAGAGCCAGTGTTGTAGCAACTGAGGGGGTGGCTAGCAGCAAACAAGTATGGAGCTAGCACGAGAGCTAAGAAATAACCTCCATCCCCACCCCTCAGCACACAGCCCCTACGGTAACAGCACACTGAGCCCTGGCTCCGAAGGGCTGCCTCCTGACAGCTCCGTCATGGCACTTTTTAACGCTTCAGCAACCAACACCAGGCAGCTGTTGCCACTGGCCTCCTACCCCTACTCTGGGGCTTGGGGGTCAGATCTCCCAGGACTTACCTTCCAAAACAAACTTTCTTCACTTTGTATTATAGGTGCAAGACAGTGACCTACTTATCTTTCCTCTTCCTCCTCCTCCTCATTTTTCCAGAAAACATTTTTTTGTCTCCTGCCCCTTCCCCTTCTGCTTTTGGTCAATCCCTGTTCTTGATCCCCTTTTCCTCCTCTCCCCAGGATGGAGAAGGTGGTGAACCCAGGAACTGAGGAAGGAGGTTTCCAGTTCAGTCACATTAAAGGGCCCTGGGGGAGAGTAAGGCTCAGAGCGGGAGGGAGTAAGGAAACCTTTCCTTTTTGTTTTTATTTGGTTGGAGTTTCTCGTATTTGAAAACACTGCAGTCTCCATGAGTTGGCCTTGTGGAGGGTGTTTCTAGGTAGAGATGAGAACGGGAAGGCAAGCTCTCGGGTACCAGGTGGGAGTTGTGTTGTTAGCTAACTGGGCAGAGGTAGAGGAGGTGGAGATGCAGTGTCACCTGTGGCTCTGGAACTGTTCCAAGGCCTGATTTCCCCCTCACCCAGCCTCTTAGGTAGCTTCTCCCCCATAGTGGGGGAGACTCTGGACCTCAGAGTCCTCCAAAGAATCTTCACTGGTTGCCTGCATCTTTGGCTCTGCTGTGATCTAATTAGAGGAGGGACCAGTTTCTGAATCCCATCCTCTGATTTATACATATGCATTTTTTTCTCTGGCCTTTAGATGGCCTCAGCCCCAGCCACTATATTCCCCTGCAGTTTGCACTTTAATTGGTGGTAGTTCAGTTGGGATACTTGTTTTATGGGGGTTTTGATTGATTTACCTGCCCTCTCACCTTTTTAATTAAATGGAACCCAAGGTAGTATATATATGAGGTTTGGGGAGGGGCTGTAGAGAACAGGACCAGTGGCAGCTACTCAAGTCCAGTCTCCATTGCTTGCTTCCTCCAGCTCTGACTCTTAACCTATATTCTTGCCAACCTAGCTCTCAAGTATAGGTTTGCCTTTCCTGGGGAATTAACTGAGCAACTGGAGAGTGGTCTCGGGATAGCCTAGGCCATTGTATGGGAGTGAAGAGGGGTGTCAGGCAGGAGGGAGGAGTTTTCTATCCTTTCCTAGGGTTCACATTCAATTTGATCCAACCATTACTGTGTCTTTTCTACTTCCCTGTAAATAGGTATGATCTTTATTCCCATTGTACAGTCTGTTCTGTCCTCCACCTCCCATCAATCAGGCCCTGTTTCTTTTCTCCTTTGTTAGTATCTTCCATTTAGTCCCCCGATTCTTACCCTCATACTCACCCCCAGCCAGTGGTTTAATCCATGTACCACTAGAAGTTAATACCACAGGCCTACTTGTGGGCCCCTCAAATCATAACACCTGTTCCTGTGGACAGGGAACAACTGCCACTGAAGGTCCATCACAGCTGTCTCATGTCACCAGAGGATGTTGGTCCCTTCTAAATCTCTAGCCACTCTTCTTGGCCTCTCTCATCCGGTGTTTTAGCATATCTTTGTGAAGCCATCAAGGCAAGAGAGAGCTCTAAACTCCTTGTTCCAGCCCAGAATTTTGGGAAAATTGGGGGAAGTAAGATAGGAAAGGTCACAGTGACCTAGGATTGGAACCTTTCTACCCTTTGATTTGCAGACTGCCCTCTGTCCCAGAGCAGCTGAGAAATCCTTGAAGCTGAGATTCCGAAGGACCCAGCTTAGGTTCTTCCACTTAGGCCTCAATTCCCTTCCTTTTCCAGGGGCAGCCTTAGTTCCCGTGGCCCTGAAACACATATATTTTTCTCTTCCTTTCCCAGCACCCACTAGCCCCCCAAAGCACCCAGTGCATCCTTATAAGTGGAAGAACTAGGATCGCTCTCTTAAATTCCTTAGAAATGAAGGGTTTTTTTTTGTTTGTTTTTTTCTCTGTGCATCTTTCCCCCTGGAATGGGAGTGAAGTGGTTCATTGCCTTGGGGCTGGGAAACCATTTCTCCAGGCTTTTTCTCCCCTCCCCAGCCCCCTTAGGAACAGGATTGGCCTTAGCTTTTAGGCCTATCTGCTGCTTTCCTTCTACTTCCTACCAGTCCTTCTACTTCCTACCAGTTCTTCTGCTTTCCTTTGAGCTTTCTTGGGCTTGGGGATCTTAGTTTTTATTTCCCAGCTCTTCATTTTTTTTCTTCCCTTCTGATCAGTTGGTTTTTTTTTTAGGCGGGGGTGGGGGGGTGTCCTTTTTTTTCTTCTAAGAAAGCATTTGCCTTTTTTCCCTTTTCTTCCTCTCCCAACATAACAATCGTGGTAACAGAATGCGACTGCTGATTTACCGATGTATTTAATGTAAGTAAAAAAGGAAAAAACAAAAAAGAAAAGTGTATTGGAGTGTTGCTTCTTTTTCTTCTTTTTTCTTTTTTCTTTCTTTTTTCTTTTTTTTTTTTTTTTTTTGCTATTTGATACTAGAAATTTGGAAGAAAGGGCATTCAATGTTTTCGTGAATCAGAAATATACCCTCTCCTACGTCATCGTACTTCCTTATAAGTTCCCTTTAATCTTTCTTGAATAGTGAGATAGCCCAATTTGGAAAATATTTGCTTTATTGCTGTTTAATCACTCCTATTCCCAAGCCACTAGAGAGCTCATCAAATCTGACATAACTTATTTTTATAGACCTCTTAATACATATTGGGCAGGGTGGGGTAGGGGGTGTGGTCTGTGGACCTCTGGGCAAACAATTGATGAGACTGGAAGGAAAGGTATTTGTGAATCCTTTGAAGTATTCTGCAAAAGTTTATGTGCATTTCTCCAGGGAAAATGTGCTTTGCTTGCCTTGCTAGTATCTTAGAGGGGTCCGTGACCTAAAGAAGGTTAAAGAAAGCACTAAATTTGTATTTTTAATTGATCATTTCCACCCCAACAGGAAAATTTCTCCTAGATCTGTTCTTGTTTGCTACTGTACTTGAAGCCCTTCAGTCCATCACGGTCTAAATGGAGGTGGGTGGGAGAGAATGACACAGAGAAAGATCAGGTATGGTTGCAGAAGTACAGGAAGAAGGACTGGTTCCAGACAGAGCTGGCATTACAATCCCATCTACCAACTTATCAGCTGTGGCCTTGACCTAGGTACTTAACTGCTCTCTGCCTCAGTTTCTTCTTCTGTAAAATGAAGAAAAGTTGAGGTTCAAAGGTCAATTGTGTAAAGTATGTGTGGAGCACACAAGATGACACTGTTATTATGGAGAAGTCTTATCCTGCAGTCTCAGACAGTCCCTAACTGATTTCTCTGTATTCTTGGGCTGAGCCCAATTTTCAAGGCTGGTAGGATAGGTTGGGCATCAGACCTCTCCAATGATTTAATTGAACACGGTTGAGCTGGGATTTCCAAAACCCTCAGGGCCAAACTCACCTTTTCACTGCCGATTCCCCTTTCCTTCTGTCTCTTAGTACTCCCCCCAGGGCTCAATGATTCTTGACAAAAGCTCTAGTTCACTTTAGGAGAGCAGAAAGGGAGAGGAAATGATCTTCCAAAATTAAAGATGAAGACCTTCACTTAGTAAGGTTGTAGTTCAACCTTTTGGCCTCTAGAGGGCAGTGTGGATACGTTCGCCTCAGGTTCACAGCCAGCCAATAGCAAAGTAAGTTTTCAGTACTGCACCAAAGGATGAAAGGATAATGGCAAACGTATTCTTAGTGCTCTCCACTGTGTGATTATGAGCGATTATAATCTTTATACTTGGGGGTATTAAAATATTGTTCTAGTTATGACAATGATTTTTTAATTGGCTTAACTAAAAAAAAAGTCGGTATTTGTATTGTTCTATACTTTGGGAAGAAAATAGACATGTCCAAGGGAACTAGTCTTTGAACCACTATTTAAGCTTCGTTTCTGTATTTATTCTTGGATATAAGAGAATTGAGCGCTTGACCTTGTTTTCACTAAAAGGCAAACCGGGCTGTTTTAGTTGCAACACAGATGTTTGTCAAAAACAGGGTAGAGGTGGAGCTCACAGCCGGGAGAATGCCGGCTGGATTCCCAGGCCTTCTCAGTGAACGCACCTTGTGTCACAGCCGTAGGGGCAGTGCGGGGGCGTCTCAAAACCTCCCACCTCTCCGCCCAAGCTTTGGAGTCCTCGTCACCTTCCACTGCCCAGTTCTGGACAACAGTGAGAGTCCCATTCCTTGTCGAGCAGGGATTGGAAACAAAAAACAGCCAGTCTTAGCTCCGAGCCCTCGTGGCACCCCTCCTGCCTCCGCCTCCAGAAGGCGGGCACAGCAGCTTGCAGGCGCGGCCAGCCAATAGCTGGGGGATGAACAGAAAGGCGAGAGTGCTCCTTCACTCGGCCCCAACGTCACGATGCTGGCCCCGCCCCTTCGCCAGCAGTCTCTGGGAGCCGGGCGGGTAAGCCAGCCACCCTGCGGACGCCGGACGCCGAACCCGAATCCGGTAAGGGGGCTGGGGACTGGGAGTGGGAAGAGGAGGAGGAGGAGTAGGAACGACTGGTAACCTGGGAGATGGCCAGGGCCTTGGGACCCGGGGGTGCTCCGAACCCCATGGGTTCGAACAAAAACCCAGTACCACCTCCACTCCCGCTGCTCCTCTTAGGAGCGCAGTGTGTTGGCTACGAGACACTCTTGTGCCAGCTGCTGGGCAATGGCATTGGACTGGGTGCTTGTGCTCTGGAGTTGGACATATCCTCCTACCTAAAGTGCCCCCCGGGGGGTGAGGCGTCACCACCCGCAAAAGGGAGGTGGCGTCTGTTTTGGAGCAGAAGGCTGCTTCTCCCAAACCTGGGACACTGGGTTTACCAAGTTTACCCACAAGTCAGTCCTACTTGGACCACTCCCATCTGGTTCAAGTGGGCTGCTGGGACTGAGGGCAGGTGGGAGGGAGAGTGAGGATCCCATGGCCCAGGAGTAAAATGCAGACTGCTCCTGTTCCTATCTCCTTCACAGTTTCTCGGCCTGCCCCCCTTTTTAGCATTTCGCCAGCAATTGGGACTCTTCTTACTCTTCCTGGATTTGGCCTTCCTGGGGTCAGTGAGCTGCTCAATGCTGTGAGGAACGAACTGCTGCAGGGCAGAGAGGGGGAAAATTACTTCTTTAGCCCACTCCCTGACACCAAAGCCATTAACTTCTCCATTTGCTGAGTTCACGGGAATGGCATAGACAAGGTAGGGGTGAGAACCCTAGGTTGGAGTCCAGTTCCCAGCCAGGTTCAATTTTCTTTTTTCCTAAGGTTGGTAGAAGGAAAGGAAGGGACTGAAAGGCCTTCAAAAACCATGTTATTATGTGTTTGCTCCTCACAGCCGCTCTGCTAGGCAGATCTCATTTCATAGATGAGGACATAAGTTCTGAGTGAGTTGGTATTTTGCCCAGGAAATGGGGCTGGTTAATGGTAAGGCTCATTTCACAAACCCAAAACAGTTCGACTCCCCAGAATCTGAGCTGGTTCACCCTGTTAGGCTGCCACTGCCTTTTTCATGTTTTTGTCCCTAAGTTGGTCTGCCTCTCATTTGTCCTCTGCTGACTTTGGAAATAATAAACCAGCAAACTGGACAGTCGACATTTTGGCTTCTGACCTTTAGGCCCTTGGCCCTGAACATTGGTCTCTGTAGTGGATAGAGTAGAGAATGGAGGATGGTGATTCTAGAAGCCCCCTACCCACTGCCCCATTCCCTTCCATCCTGTCAGCACAGTCTCTTTGAAGTCGTTTATGTTTTCTCTAAGGACCCATTTGGACCTCCCCCCACACATAGTCCCTTCCTTTGGCCTCATTACCACAGAAAAAGTCTCTTCATTTGCCCAGAGAGCACCTTGCTGACCTCTGTGTCTTCCTTCCACTCATTTCCTCAAGTTTCACTAATATCATCCCCTCCCAGAACTCCTTATCTTGATCCTGGAATCTTTTTCCCACAGGTCTGTCACAATGCTGCTGCACAGGGCTGTGATCCCCCATCTCCGACAGGCCTGCAGGTAGGCCATCGCATCCTAGAACTTGTGTCTCAGCCCATATTCCCCACCCCCAGTATCTTTATGACATTTATCTACCAGATAAGATAGTTGAAATACTGGATACTAAGGAGGAAAGGGAAAGCCATATCTCACCTGCTTGTTCCACTCAACCCTGGAGAAACTTAAGTCCCAACTGAAGGAACCAATGGCCAACCTGGTAAACCTCAGGCCTTCACTGTCCCTTTCCTATGATCAGGAGTGTGCTGCTAAGAGGACCTCTCTCTCTTCCAGACTCAAGTCAGCCCCCTCAAGGCTCTATATTCGGGCTTGCTCTACAGATGATTCACTTCAGCCCCAGTGCCCCAGCCTTGCCTTTTCTGGTGATAACTCCAGCACCGGGGGATGGAAAGTCATGGGGACTCTGCTAGGCCTGGGTGCAGTGTTGGCCTATCATGACCACCGGTGCAGGGTAAGTGGGGAAGAAAGGGACTTCACTGTCAGAACAAGGGGGCCCTAATAAGCTCCCCAGGCAACCCAGGCTATTACCACAGAGCCCATGGTGATACTGTCTTCATGCAGAGTAAAGATGAAATCTGCTACCTCTCTTTCACAGTGGCCATGACTTTATGGTTTGGGTCAGGGTAAGCAAGAGTGATTCCTTCTTACTGTTTATGTTTCTTTTTGCCTTACCCCTGCGTTGTCTGCAGGCTACTCAGGAGTCACCACACGTATACACAAGAGAGGAAGTGAGATCTCACAGCAGCCCTGAGACTAGGATCTGGGTGACTCTGGGCTATGAGGTGTTTGATGTTACAGAATTTGTGGACTTACACCCTGGGGGGCCATCAAAGCTGATGCTAGCAGCAGGGGGTCCTCTAGAGCCCTTCTGGGCCCTCTATGCTGTTCATAACCAGCCCCATGTGCGTGAGATGCTGGCTCAGTACAAGATTGGGGAGCTGAGCCCTGAAGACAAGGTACCTTCCACCTTGAAGACCTCTGACCCCTACATTGATGATCCCATACGTCACCCAGCCCTGAAGGTCAACAGCCAGCGCCCCTTTAATGCAGAGCCCCCCCCCTGAACTGCTGACGGAAAACTATATCACACCTAACCCTATCTTCTTCACCCGGAACCATCTGCCTGTACCTAACCTGGACCCAGAAACCTATCGTCTGCATGTAGTAGGGCCACCTGGGGGTCAGTCACTGTGTCTATCCCTGGATGACTTGTACAAGTTCCCCAAACACGAGATCACTGTAACTCTGCAGTGTGCTGGCAACCGGCGCTCTGAAATGACTCAGTTCAAAGAAGTGAGAGGTCTGGAGTGGAATATCGGGGCCATTAGCACTGCACGCTGGGCTGGGGCACGCCTTTGTGATGTGTTAGCCAAGGCTGGTCACCAACTCTGTGAAACTGAGGCCCACGTCTGCTTTGAGGGACTGGATTCAGACCCCACAGGGACTGCCTATGGAGCATCCATCCCTCTGGCTCGGGCCATGGATCCTGAAGCTGAGGTCCTGCTGGCATACGAGATGAATGGGCAGCCTCTGCCTCGTGACCATGGCTTCCCTGTGCGAGTGGTTGTTCCTGGTGTGGTGGGTGCCCGCCATGTCAAATGGCTGGGCAAAGTGAGTGTGGAACCAGAGGAAAGTTACAGTCACTGGCAGCGGCGGGATTATAAAGGCTTCTCTCCATCTGTGGACTGGGACACAGTAGATTTTGACTCAGCTCCATCTATTCAGGAACTTCCTGTCCAGTCAGCCATCACAGAACCCAAGGATGGGGAGACAGTACAATCAGGGGAGGTGACTATCAAGGGCTATGCATGGAGTGGTGGTGGGAGGGCTGTGGTCAGGGTGGATGTGTCTCTGGATGGGGGCCTAACCTGGCACGTGGCAGAGCTGGATGGAGAGGAACAGCGTCCCAGAAAGGCCTGGGCCTGGCGACTATGGCAGCTGCAAGCCCCTGTGCCGGCTGGGAGAAAGGAATTGAACATTGTTTGTAAAGCTGTAGATGACAGCTACAATGTGCAACCAGACACCGTGGCCCCAATCTGGAACCTGCGAGGTGTGCTCAGCAATGCCTGGCACCGTGTCCATGTCCATGTTGCCCCATAAGAAGGTGAAATGGAATTACCTACTCCCCAGAATCATCATCTCAACCCCTTTCCACACACATCCTTTTGCTTTGTTACCACAGGAAAACCTTTCCTTCCACCTCCACTTCTTGGATCACAACCCTATACTATGCCTTCCTAAACCACACACAGATATGCACATTGCACATTTCCACCCAGACACCAGCTCTCCTTTGACACTATGTTACATATCCCTATTATGCCAGAAGTTGAGAGCTGTTGAAGATGGAGGCTAGAAGTGGGGAAATTTCTGTAAACAAGCACTCTTCTCCTCCTACCCCACCTCCACTTCTAGTGTCTATCATCACTTTATTTTGCTTTTCCTCTTGGGAGTCTTCAGAGAATGTGTGTGAATATGTGTACAAAAAATGTATATGCAACTTTCTACTGACTTTCTGGTTGCTAGGGGTCGTGAGAGGTGCAATCCTGCCCCTTTATAGTTCCACTTTTCTAAACACATCAATAAAGTATCTGTTTAAGACACAACTCTGAAAAAAGAAAAGATTATGACTTTGGGGACTTCTTGAGGCTGGAGCGTGAGCATATTGCAGGAGGGAGGTGCACTGGTACTGGGATATGTAGTGAGATAATCCCAAACAAGGTGGGGGGGGGGGAGGGAAAAGGGAAGTAGGGAAGTCAAAAAGTGGGGCTTCCTTCTCCGAGGTCTGCCAGTATCTGTAGCGTTGCTTAGGTGACTCACCTAAGAATACCCTCAAGAGAGATTTTTTTAAATGGCATTGTTAAGCTCCTCCCGCCCCTCCCCATTTCTAAACACTTGGCAGGAAAAGCAAAGAATTCTAAGAAGCTAAAATCAATATTGCCTTAGCAGAGGCAGGGCAAAACTTGGCACTAGGGGCAGATATGCCAGGGCAGGTGGGGGCATCCAAAGTGCGCCTAGCTTACAAATCAAACGCAGATGCAGGGGCAGTCATCGAGTTACCCTCCGCACGCGACCGCTCCTTTCCGACTTGAAGCTTTCGGCGCTCGGCTACTCTCCCCTAGCTCTTTTTCCTTTCCCCAGCAGTCTCCCTGGCTTGGGGGCGCTCGGTGTTCGGCCACGCCGCCTGTCGCCTGGTAGTGGGACCGGAAGTTGTTCGGGGGAGGGGGGACGGCTGTGGTGGGGGGGGTTGCTGGGGGGGGCCGGTCCCTCCTCAGGTGAAGTCGCTGATGGAGATGGAGCCGCCGCCGCCGCTGAGTGCCCGGGTCCCGGGTCCGGCCCGATTGCCGCCGCCTCAGTGACCCCACTCCCCCCGCACTGGGCCGCCCGGGCCAGAGTGGGGGACCCCCGCCGCCCCGCCCCCCTCTTCCCCAACACCGTCCCCTCTCCCTCACCCCCCCCCCCCAGCTTGCGCGCGCGCGGAGCTGCCTCAGGTGAGTGAGGGGCGGGGCTTGGGCGAAGCGCTGGGGGCGGGGCCTCGGTCGCCGGGGGCGGGGCCTGAGGGGCTTGGGCGTGAAGCAAGGGGAGACCCGGACTGGGGGCTGGCGGGAAGAGGGTGGCGGCCTGGGCTGTGACCCGAGGGGAGGGAGCTGGCCCAGCTAGTGGGGGAGTTAGGCTCGAGGCTCCAAGGTTGAGGGGAAGGTAACGGAGAGCCAAAGGGTCCTAAAAAGGCGGGAGACGGGTCAAGACAGCCAGGAGCTGGGTGCGCTCCTTGGTGGGGTACGGCTGGGGTAGAACAGAAGAGGGTGAGAAAGGAGAAGCAGAGGGGGTACCTGGGCAAAAAAGCGAGAGGACGGGGCGGGGGGGGGGGGCGGTTTGTCGAGAAGGTTAGAGAGAAGGACATAGGCCTCGGTGGGAAGATCTGGGAGGCAATGAGCAGAATGAGAGAAACAGTAGAGAAGAAACTTAGAGTGCAAGTGGAAAGTGCGGTCTAAGGTACCATGTAGGGTGAGACGTCTAGGGAACCTGAGAAGCAGGGCTGGGAAGGAAGAGATTCACTGCATATGAGTCCTAAGAAAGAAATGTAATAGAGGAAGCCCTGGGTCTGAGGACTCTAAGGAGAGACAGACTTTGGGAAGCAGTTGTAAACTGAAATAGGCCTCCGTGTACCTCTTCGCACAACCCATCCCCAGTTATTTTCTTCCCCCTTGTCTGCTAGAGTTGTAGATTCTCACTTTTGAAATTTTCATTTGACTTCTCTACTTTTTAATTTTTTCAAATTTTTAATGTTTATTTTTGAGAGAGAGAGCAAGACAGAGGATCTCAGTCAGGCTCTGTGCTGACAATAGAGAACCCAATGCAGGGCTCGAACTCATGAACCACAAGATCATGACCTGAGCCAAAGTCCCCTGCTTAACCAACTGAACCATCCAGGTGCCCCGCTTTTTAAATTTTTTTAATCGTGACCGGTCCTGTCATGAGGACCAGTTGGAGTCCTGTCATGAGTTGGGTTTTAATGGAACACAGATCTTTAGGTATAAGATGTTTAGGAAATAAAGTACCCCATTTCTTTCTCCAGGGTCAAGAATTTACTAACTCTGCTTCCAGGAAGATTTGATGCATTACCAACTATATTGTGTCAAATTTTGCATACCTTCTTTCATTTCAGTCCTTTCTCTCATAAGCAAAACTGCCAACTGTTGTGACTCTTACAGGTCCCCCACTGACATGTTTCATAGCCCCACCTGTTTCCCAGTCTACCCCGCCTGAACCCTTAAAGCATCAGTGGTGAGCTTAGAAAGTTTCTGACTCACTCACATATCAACGCTAGGCCTTCCACCATCAAGGCCAAGCAGAAGACCATTTGAGGCCAGGGCACCTGGGTGGCTCAGTTGGTTAATTGTCCCACTTGGGCTCAGGTCATGATCTCACAGTTTGTGGGTTTGACCCCCGAATCAGGCTCTGTGCTGACAGCTTGGAGCCTGCTTTGGATTCTCTGTCTCCCTCTCTCTCTCTCTCTCTCTCTCTCTGCTCTCCCCTGCTCATGCTCTCTCTCTCTCTCAAAAATAAATAAACATTTAAAAAATGTATAATAAAAAAAATTGAGGCCTGCTGTTTCCCCTTACTGCTATTTGTTCACTTTATCTGTGTGAAGGTACATGTTGATATTCTTAGGAAGCATTAAAAACAGGTGTCTGACTACCTAATAATTCCACCTAAGATAACTGTGATTCTGAGGACAAGACCAGGACAAGTCCAAATCAAACAATCGTTGAAATTGTAGCTTCTTGTTTGGTAGAAGTATCTCCTCATTGGTCTGTCAGTAGTTCAGTTAATATTGCTTTGTGGTGTAGGGAACTTCAGCCTTGCCTGAACACCCGAAAGCCAGAGAATCCAGACAGCTCCCTGGATCATGAGAATTGTCAGAAGAGTGGCTCATGAGATAAAAACAAAGTCTTAAAAGGAGAAAATTTAAAAAAATAAAATAAGAAAATAGTGTAGCCATTGGGAAGCAGGATAGATCTCACTGGAGCTTCTAGGGTGGGTCCCAGGTGGTGGGAGCTGCCCTCAATTTGGCAGGGTCGGAATTATATCTTGCCCTAGTCAATAGATGCTGATGTCTCAAGCACAGAATATAATGTCTTTGTTGCCCACTGAGTGCAGGTAGTTCAGTTGTAGCTTCTGGGCAATCCCCTTCCTCTTAGTAGGTTAAGGGCAAAGCATGTTTTGGGACTTGGCTCAGAAAGAAGTCCTGACTTTTTTCCAGTGAAAATGCAACTGAACATTTCTTCTTTATTTTCTCCTAGTTTAAATCTGCAGCTTGTACTTCCCAGTGTGGGAGGAACATTATCCCACCTTTTACCTCCTACTAACATCCACAAAGAAATTATTTTCTCCCAAACTGGCCATCTTTTTTCCTTCAACATACACACAAAATAACCAAGGAAAAATGAAGACAAATTATTGTAGGGCAGGTATTTCTGGGCTCATTTTACTCTACAAGAACAAATAAGAATGTGGAGCTCTGTGGGTATAGACAATGCTACAGGCAGAGGGACTCCCTTTCTTTGTTGGTGTCATGACCCTGCCTAAAGAAGGCTCTGAATTCCCAGCTGTTTGATTTGCCTCCTTCTCAGAAGAGTTGTAGATTCTGTATTGGAAACGGAGATAATTTCAAGGTTTATCTGACAAAAGCATGTAAGAAAGGATAGTGCTGATATGAATGGCCTGTCCCCTCCTACCCCACCAGTGGGAGTGGCATCAACCTTGTAGACTCTGCTGGAATACATATGCTGGTGTAATCCTTGAGCCAAGGAGCTCTGTTTCTACCTTAAAGAGACCTAGTAAGGGCCTCGGTTGGCATTTCCCTCAGGCTCGTAATCTCTAAAAAGAGACATGGGAGGGAGAGGATTATTTTTTCTTCCATCCATAAACCAGTGTTTCTAGTTTAAGGATTTAAGCCACAAGATGCAGACCCCCAAATTTTTCATTTCAACATCCGAGAAAGCAGGTAAGCATGGGTGGTCCCAAACCTTCCCACTGTGGCAAAATTTAACTTTGGGCTGTAGTAGAAAGACTGGTTACCAGACTGATAACCTGGGTTCTATTTGGTCTTAATTCTGTCACTAACCAGATAGGTGACTCAGCTTAGTTTCTTCTTCTGTTAAAAAACAAGAGATTGGAGATCATCTCTCAACTCCATTCTAGCTGCAAGATTCCCCAGGTCCTACAACATTCCTGCCCTAGGCCCTCCACAAGAAGAGAGGCTTACTTGTCAGGGCAAGATTCTTTGTTAGCAGAGGAGCCTGAAAATATCTGTCCCGCCCAAACAACAGTGAGCCCTTTTGATCAGCATGCATTAGAGACTTCTGGTCAGGACTGCCACCAAAGGCAATTGTTCCCATCTCTTCCCCCTTTTTGCTACTCTATACCAGTCAGGATAGTTCACTGAACCTTCCACATAATTTCAAACTTCACTTAAGCTAACTTTGTTAGGGGCATCTTTGGCTTCAAAACTAATTATTAAGAAACTCAAATCGAACACTGCTGGCCTACTTTTCTCACCTTTACCCAAACATACAGTTGAATAGCAGTGACTTTGTGGGGCCTTTCTATAAACACAGGGCTCAAATACTTCAGGGTATACCACAAACCCAGAGAGTATCAGCTCGTGTGCATCACCTAGTGATTTACCTGTTTAGTTTAGCCCCTCCATAGTTTCTTAAGTCTTAAAATGAGACATGGGAGGGGTACGATTGTTTCTCCTCCCATCTATAAACCTTAGCCTTCTCTCTCTTCTGCAGTCTACATGGGGAGGACAGGGAAGCGCAAAGAACAAGAGAAAATATTCATCCTTCTGAGATCTAAAAGGAGACAATGAGGTGATATTTTCCCACTCCCCAGACGTTGTGTTTCCAGCTCATACCCCTTCTTTTTTTAGAGACTGGTCATTCCTAGGATTACCTGGGAATTCATCCCCTCAGCACTGCTCCCCAAGCACTTGGATAATGAAGCTGAGCTGTCTTCGTCTGTCTTATATGTAGACAGAAGGTCATCATCTACAGCTTGGTGAAAAAAATGAGTCAGACCTTTCTGCTATAAAGACAGACACATGAGCTGAGAAAAGGTTGGTGGGTTTCCTTCAGAGAGTACTAGGTTGACCCAAAGATCATTTCAGAACTGCAGATTGCTCAATGTCAAGGTCTGTTTCCTGGAAAGGGGCACGTAGTCAGGCTGCAGACAATGCCTTATTCCATCTCTTCCCTCAACCATTTACTTTTTTCCTGTCCCCAGTTATGCAAAGCCCCGATAGACCACAGAAGCAGCTATGTGACTCCAACATGTTTTTGTGTCGCTTTCATTCAGTTCATGGAGGTACAGACAGGAGAGGATGATGCTGTGGGTTTGGTTTACTTGCAGTACCTGAACTGCTCACTCCCAGGCAGGTGAAAAGTCCTGTCTTGCTAATAATCACCGGGCTACACTTCAGGTCCCAGGTCCTAAGAGAGGCCAGAGAAAAGATTGCTATTCTCGGCTGCAGTTCCGGAACAATAACCAAAAGGATGGCACAAATCCTTGCCACTCTCTCCACCTCCACTTTCTTTCCCAACAATATCCTCCTTGCTACCTTTCTACACCCTAGACCACATGGAGTATATTTTAAATTCCAATTTTGGAGTGTCACTGGATCAAACAGGATTCTTTGAAGGATTTGAAGAGCTTTAAATACTTGTGATATCCATCTTATTTCAGGCTTTCAGAGCTACCACATACAGAAAACTTGACTTTCTGACATTTTTGTCACCCAATAGTGAAAGCCGTGGGGATGTTTTTGTGGAGATGAGAAGCTGGGGGTGGTAGCTGATGCCTGACCTGCCCCTGGAAGTCAGACTTTGGATTGGTCATGACCTGGTGCTTGTCTGGAAGTGTGGTGGGAAATCTTCTGTCTAAAAGGAGTGTCCATTCCTGCCCATTCCTGTTCAAATGTGATACTGTGTTGATGGGAGAAAGCCAGGGCCATGGAGGACTCTTGTTACAGTGCCAAGTGGATTCAAAAGAACAGGGAAGAAAACCTTTGTCTCCGGAGGTTACAATGACCAACCTTTCCTCCCTCACAGAGACGCTTCCTTTTGAATTAGGAGACTAGCTATTTCTAGTTGCTTTGTATTCAGCTCACTGAACTGAATTTACAGTACATATGTGCCTACCTCCATCACTGAATGATGCCTATGTTGCTATAAAGCCGGTTTCTTTCCAAGATCTTTGAGCCAAACCTGTCTTGTGTAACTAACTTCTCTCTTTTTATGCCTCCTCCCCCTGCAGTATGTCTCCAATTGGCAGTGCCTAATTTGACCCAGTTCCTCTAAGGAGACACTAAGATCTGCCTGCCTGGCCAGGCAGGGGAGGAGGTGCTTTGAGGGGCGGGGAGTGGGAAGGTTGGGAGGGATGTGCTGCCTGGAGACTTGAACAAACAGTGAAGTACATCTACTGATTTGCTTCTGGCTCTCAGAGCACCAAGATTGGGAACAGCAGAATCTCGATCCCCTCTCACTTCCAGGGTTACCAACTTGGCATGTAGACCTGTTAGAGGCAGCCAAATGCTGATTTTGCCCAAGATGTGTCATGGAGCACCTGTTAAGAGCAATTAAGAAGCAGAAGAGCTCAGTTTACTGCTAGGAACAAAGTCCAACTCAGAAAACAACTCCTTCAGACCCTTCTGGAAATTGTTTTGGGACCATTTGGGCAGGTGTCCAAGAATGAGATGTACTTCCTGAGCCAGTGCTAGCTGAATGCTATGCTTCAACTGTTTTGCCTACCTAGTGCTTATCTAGCCCCTGGTTCCTTCGTGTTCTCTCTCTCTGTCTCTCTCTCTCTGTCTCTCTCTCTCACACACACATACACACACCACACACACATTACATTATTTCTCCCTGTAGAGCCTGCTCTACTTTTCCTCCTTTTTAAGTAACAGACCCCACTCCCACGGAGGTCATACCAAAGGAAAAGATGCCTTAATTGATGTTAGAACCAGGGGAAAGCAAGAAGATCCATGAAGGCCTTGAGTATTCTGACTTTCCAAAAGAAACAAGACAGTGGGGCACCTGCGTGGCTCGGTCGGTTAAGGGGCAGACTTTGGCTCAGGTCATGATCTCACAGTTTGTGGGTTCGAGCCCTGGGTCGGGCTCTGTGCTGACAGCTCAGAGCCTGGAGCCTGCTTCAGATTCTGTGTCTCCCTCTCTCTGCCCTTCCCCTGCTTGTGCTCTCTCTCTCTCTCTCTCTCTCTCTCTCTCTCTCTCTCAAAAATAAACATTAAAAAAATTTTTTTTTAAATAAAAGAAACAAGATGGTTTAATGGGAAGAGCACAGCTCAGGAGACCTATGTTCTTTTGTTTTGTTTTGTTTTGTTCCAGTCTCACCATGAGCCCAGAGACAAGTAACGTCACTGCTCTGAGCCTCAGTTTCTCCAAGCAGAAAATGGAGGAAATCTTGCCCATTCTTGCTTCTGTTTGTGTGCATGAGTGCGTATGTGTAGGGAAGTCACATGTGGCATCTTAGCTCTGCAGTAGTTTTGAAAAATCCTAAAAGGCAATTATGGAGCTAATGATTCAGAAATGAGAGGGGCCCCATGAGTACCAGACCGCCCTTCCTCATTCTTTGAATCTCTGACCACCACAGTTCTATGGCTAGTTCCAGGGGGTATGAGTTTGCTAACCACTGTGGACTTGGGCTCTTCTAATCATTACCCCTAAGGGAACCTTCAAGGAACCACTTATTATTGTGGCTTGGTCTAGCAGTCTGATCCCAAAGCTGAGACCATCTCAGGGAGGATGTGAAGAAAAGAAGAACTGAAAATAAATTTAGATAAATTTTTCTTCCACACCCAGGTTTCCTGGGTGAGACTAGGACTCTCTGATGAAATCTAAGGCAGAGCTGCTTTGTGAAGTGAAGGAAAGCCCATGTTTCAGGCTTTGTCTTGAGACTTTTCAGAAGAGTATGATGTCTCTCGGCGCAAGAGTGACCTGGGGGAAGGGGGAGACAGAGTAATAGATACTTTTCCCCTGTGCATCCTCCAGAGTCCCCAATCCTTGCCTTTAACAGTATAGTATTACAAGCAAACCAAATTTTCATCCATCCACCTCAGAGAGATCCTTCAAAGAGACAGGAATCCTGGTGGCAGCTCCAACTGTTTCCTTTCCCCACTCTTGCGCCCTCAAATCTGCCCCTGGAGTATTTATTTTTCATTAGGTGACTGGTGAAATCAATTTTGGAGGTATGTAAATTTCTACCAAAGAGATTTTTTTTTTCTTCCTCCCACAGGCTCCTAAAGAGAGAATTCATTGCAACAAATTATCACTTTTAATTGTTCTCAGTTCTTGATTTGTTTAATACTCACTGCCAATTACTGCTTGCTTCTGTCAAATAGACTAACCTGCATTTTAAATTCAGGGTTCCCACCCTAAAAAATAAATAAATAAATAAAACATAGCAACGTAAGTGACAAGAATATGGGGAGAAGCCACTTGAAGATTTAATTTGTTTATTATACCTTCAGTAGTGGACTCCACTGAACCTGAGGTGGGCTGCTCTCCTCCATATTTACCTTCCTGTCCCCCACACTCCCCCACATACCGCCCCCCCAACAAAAAGAATCCCCTGAGACAGAATCCTGTTTCTTCCTTTTATTACTACCCCATCCTTAAGGTACAGAGCTTCTATGGAGCTGGTTTCTGTGCCTCCAGAAAGCTGGGCTGTAACCTGTCTCCTTTCCCACAGCATCAGCTCCACCTACAGGAGGAGGGGTCTACTCTCAAAACCACACAACCAGGACCACTCTGGAGTAAGACATTGTTTCCACTTCGGAGGCCGGGGAAGCCTGTAGAAGTTGTGGGTTGGACAAGACCCTGGGGTCTGTAAGTCAGGGTACATTGTCTTTCTCATCAGGACAAAGTATGAGGTTTTTCATCTTTAGGATAGGGTCAGAGCACACTTGCTAATTCCAGAATGTTAGAAACCTCCTCCCTTCCCAGATCTGGCTTCTGATAGCAGATATTTTCTCTTTCAGCAGACTCTAAGATGGATATAGAAGACTGCAATGGCCGCTCCTATATGTCTGGTATGCCCTCTTGTGCATTCTGTTTGTAAGGGGCTGGGAGCAGACACTCGCCTGTGGAGCAGAGTGGAGAGCCTTCAGCCTAGCACAGGACCTCTGAGTGCCCCAGTCGTCACAGAGCTGCCACTCATGCTTGGTTTGCTTGGTAGTGTGCATCTATTTTGGTCATTTTACATTCCCTAAATAGTGATTCTCTTCCCAGACTTCTTGGAGGATAAGGGTAGGGGAAGGGAATAGGAGGGGAATACGAGTGGAGACTAATAGAGAGGAATGATTTAAAAGTAAAGAGATTGAAGGAAGATGTGATTCCTTCTCCTGTTCTCTGAGGTCACCAGCCAAACAGGATATTCTATCCCAGCCAGGTAGACAGTGGAGCAGCGTTTCAAGCCTCAAAGGCCTGCAGGAGCCAGTTGGGTATGTAAATGAGTGAACTGGGTTGGGATAATGAGCCGAAGAGAATGTGGGGACTGTCATGGACAGAGAACACATGTCCTACCTCAAGGAGCAACTGCTCCTCGGTGTCCACCAGTCACTGCCATGCCAGAATGTGTATCTGGTGTGGCCAAAACTTCCAATTTTTCAACAGAATTCAGAAATCCATATTTTATGTGAAATGTCTCCATTTTAGAATAATGACTCAATATTTTAAAAAAATGTTCCATGGAGCAAGCCAAACTTATCTATGGGCTGAATTCAGCCAGTGGGCCAACAACGAAGAGCCTTTGAAGGAGCGATATAGAGCCCACTTCTCATTTCCCCCAGTCCTTTGTCATGGTCATAACATGCTATGGCTTTTCATACCTGCCAAATACTCTTACTGAGGCAGAAGAGATCACTGCTTATACTACAAACGGCTTCTAGAGATATGAGAGTAATCAGGGTCCTCTCAGAGTTTAACAACAAGGTGAAAAAAAAAATGCAGAATTTTTCTGGCCCTCTCTCTGAAGGTGCAGAAAAGGGCCTAAGACAGAGTTTGTCTCTAAGACGCAAGGACTCCTTTTTTGGATCATTAGAATGTCAGGGCAGGGAATGATTATAAGAGATAAGGGGAGCCAGATTTGGGTTTTGACATGATGAGTATGCCCATCAGAAATCCAAGCACCATTGTAGAAATGACCCATAGCATTTTATTTTTTATACCCTGAAGTGGGACCAATGGAATTATGGGTACATTCAAAGATGATAGCTAGGTGGGTCAGACACACATAGAAGAGTCATTGGCAGCACGTGGGTAACATAAGGTAAGACACTGACTCTGACCCCTTTCTTATTTAAGGGGGAAGGAGTTGGAATGGATTAAGGCATTCGATACCTGCCACACGCTGGACACAGTGACAGGGATCAAGTGGACTGATTTAATTGAAAGAGATTTTGTTGGAACTAAAATCATGGCCCTTCTGAGGAACCACCCAGTCCTTCTATCTCCTGCTCAGTTAGGCCTACTCAGAAAACCACTACTGAACAACAACCACACTCAGGACGCTGTTTTATTGCTGGGGAACACTCAGATAAAAACCAGTCCCTGCCCTAATGTAGGTAAATGAGAAACTGAGAATGTGGCTGGGGAAATATCCCATGGAGCTCTGTCTCTGGAGAATGCTGGATATTAGAGGAAAGCCCCTAGGGTGGTTGCTTCACTGTGCTATGAAACCAAATTTTCCCCGCTTTCAGCGGGTTGACATTTCCTAGACAAGAGAAGCCTCTGCACAGCATAGTTTTTGAATGGAAGTAGAGGCCAGAAACCCCTCATCTGTGTTTCGAGAATTCTAGGTGCCAGCAGCCACATTAAAGAGAAGGAAAAGGGAAAGCCAGGGCTAACATTAGTTCTGAAAAGTAGCCCCCGCAGGAATGGGTATGGCTGAGACAGTCCATTTGAGGGGCATCTGAGAGTCTCTAAATGACCCATCTCTCCTGGGCCAATATGCAAGCAGTGGGAAAGGCTGCTGTGTAGACCCCTCCTAAAGCACACTTTGGCCCTTCAAGGTCATCACAGCTCTTCTGTCTTCATACCAGGTGGCCTTCCCTCACCTGGCCACTTGATGAAGGGAGTATCTCTCCTGTTCTTTAAAGAGATTTTCCCACCTCACAGATCCTGATTCAGAAAATGCATCTTTTCTCCCTTTGTCTCTTTCTAAAGGTGCAGGTCAGTCCCTCCTGAGGGAGAGAGGGAAGAGAAGGGATCCACTAACTTACCACACAGATTTTCTCCCCACCTCCATTCCCTGTCTTTCAGGGGAAACTGAGTTGCTCAAACCCAGCTCATGCAATTAATTGACTGAGCAGTGCTTTTCACAAGTTTTCTGGGACTGTGAACTGTTTAAGGGAACCTTCGAAAGGGATCCAGGGGTAGGCAGCCCAAAGTTTCACAGCTCCTCCCACCCCCAAATTCTTGGAATCAGAAAATCTAGTCTCCAAAGTAGGTCAGCACGTCAGTGAGCAGCTCCTCTGGAAGGGAAGGGAGCAGAGGCCTTGTCTTGATAGAAGGCGGATTCATCCAGGGCTGTCGGCCGCCCAGGCCCCAGGGGCACAGGAGGGAGGGGAGTGGAGGTGGGGAGAAGATACCAGGATTTTGCCTGGGATCTGAAAAGCCTCAGGGCCACAGAGCAACACTAGCCTGAGACCAGACTGCTGGGCCTTCTCGCTGCTGGGAAGGAGGGGGCTGTCAGTCCCCAGATCTAAAGAGCAACCTCCCTCCTGGAGGAGGAGGGAAAGGAGGGAATCTGAGTGCCTGAGTTTAGTGGGGGGAGGGGCTTTCTGACGATCTGAGAGCCTTGAAGCTGCCCCATGTCCTGGGCCCCATGACCTCTGGGGCCTTGGCTTCCCCAGCTGGCAGAGGATTGGGCCTTCCCTGGGGGCCCCCCTTTCTCCCTCCCACCCTGAGGGCCCATCCATCTCTCTCTCTCTCTCTTTTGCACACACTCTTGCCTCTCTCAGGCATTTGTTGTGCAGTTCCTCTTTGTCTGCTGGGCACGAGGGCAACGGCATCTGCCTCCCCCTCCCTGTGCACACCCCCCACCCCCACCCCTTTACTGGCTTGGGAAAGGGATGCTGTAGCCTAGCATCCCCCCCACCAGACACACATATACATTCTCTCCAGCCCCCTCCCCAAGCACATCCAAGCGTGCTCTCGCTTGCTCTCTCTCTCCCTCTCTCCCTCTCTCCCTCTCTCTCTCTCTCTCTCTCTCTCTCTCACACACACACACACACACACACACACACACACACTCACACACATACACCCTGGGCTGAGCTCTTCTTGTTGGCTGCAGCCGTGGGCCCCTGCTCACCGTGCCGCTGCCTGCGAAATGACGGCGGTTCCCCTCACTTCCAGGAATCCACGCTTCCTGGAAGGTGAGTGGCTGGGCTCACCCCTGCCTGCCACCGAGACGCAGACATGCACACACCACCCGCACTCCCTCGCCGTTTCCAAGGCGGCGGCCGCGTTCGCACCCCAGGGTCTCACCGGCAAGGGAAGGATAATGTAAGTTCAGGCAGAAGGTGGCTAGTGGAGGGGGAAGGGGGGTGCCGGGGCTAGGGAGCCAATTCAGTAACAACTCCCAAGCCTGAGGAGAGGGAAAGGATGGGGGCTGTGTGTGTGTGTGTGTGTGTGTGTGTGTGTGTGTGGCGGGGGAGGGGGCGTTCCTCCTTACACTTGCGGAGGATGGGAAGGGTGTTTGGTGTTGCTAAGCAAAGACTGCGACTTGGACAGTGGGAGATTGTGGTGACATCTTGATTAGGCCTTGGGGACAGATGTAGAGCTGCCCTGGGTGAAATGCCGAGACAGGCCTGGGTGGGAATGGGTAATAGAATCTAGGTAAAGAGGAGCCTTGGCAGCAGAAGCCTCAGCCTCGAACAGAGATCCGAGGGCCCTCAGCCTCTTCCCCACAATAGAGCTGGGGATGGGCGTCTTTCTTTGCTCCTGTACCCACTGTTCCCTGCTAGCAGGCTAGCATCCTGCCACCCTGGAGCCCATGGTCAAGACAGGGAAAGCAGTTAGGATAAGATTCCTTGCTGATAAGTGTGGAGGTTCTTAGACCTCATGGCTGTTCCCTAGAGGCAACCACTCTTTGAAGGGATCGAGGAAGGGCAGCAGGAGTGGAGGGCTTGTCTCCTTCAGCATGTGAAACACATTTAGCTGGTGGGACCTTGCCCCATTTCCTCTCTCTCCCTCCTGTTTTTCTGCCCCATACCCGCCTCCTTGTTCCTCTGATGTCAACCTCATGATTTGGCTTTGCCCTCTGGGGGTTCAGCCAATCTATGATGACTTTGACCAAGAAAATTTATCTGAGACCTGAGAGTGGCCTTAATTCTTGGCTTTGACAGTCTGGGGTTTCTTGGGAGTCCCAGGCATTTGAAGTTCCCTCACTGGGGTTTCTGGGACTGACAGAGGAACTGCTGAACTTCCTAAATCTGACTCTAGTCCCCTTCACCCTCCGGCTAGAACTCAAAATCCCAGGGTCCCCATAAAGACTTTCTGACCCCTAAAACAGATTCATTTTTATGTATTAGTGCCACAAAAGTAGACTTGAACCTGTTTTCCCTCTTACCTTTATCCTAGGGAGGGCAATGGCATCTAAGACCCACCCAGACTAACGGTGTGACTGTGGAGGCACCTACTCTTCCTCCTGTTCCCAGGCCTTAATAAGGAAGGGACAAAGGATATTTTCCTCTTAATGTCCCTAAATATTCCTTTAAGCATATTTTCCCCATATATCAAGCCCAGTAGGCTGGGACTAGAGATGGATTTCCAGCAAGTTCACTCATTGTTTTAGGGTCCAGGGCTCAGTACCAGGGCCCAGAGCTCAGTTCTTCCCCCATTACAAATATCAAGTGATTTAGGGCAAGTTAGCACTAATGTCTGAAAAGGAACAAGGAGACACTCCTTTTAGCCCTTTTAACCATAGTAAACCCTACACTGTGTTAAAGGACGTATTGTAAAACTGGGTCTGAGTCTACACATCTCAACCCACAACTCCTGAGATGCTCACTTTGATGATATGCGTGTGGTTCTGACTTGGGCAACTTTTCTAGATAACCATGGTTCATCTAAAGAGCCCCAGCTGGGAAAACTGAAAATGCCATAAGGCATTTTCTATAGATAGTGAACAAATTTTCCTCAGGCTTTGATGGGATAGAATGGGGGAAATGGGACTTTTAGAAGAGGATATGAATGGGAAATGGTCCCAAAGTCCTGAGTGGTTGTTTTCTTCCCACTGACCAAGCTGGAGAGGGATCCCTCAGGAGGGTGTGTTCCGGATTTCTTGCCTCAGTCCCAAGACTCCAACCATTTTATAATGGAATCTTTATTTTGTGAAAGTAAGTATGTACATAGCTGGGAAATTGGGTAAAGTACTAATAGGTGGACTTTAGGGATGAATTTTAGGGTTTGTCTCTCTCTCTCTCTCTCTCTCTCTCTCTCTCTCTCTCTCTTCCGTATTTAGGCTTGTGTGTACGCATCCATGCATGTTCATGTTAGCAGATAATGTAGAAGGCTATGGGTGTGTTTACCCCCGTAGGTATGTTCTCTTTATGTGTATCTACATGTGTGGTATATGTCTGTGTTTCTGTGTATGTTTACCTACTTGTATGTTATTTTTGTTTATTTGTTTTTGTGGATTTTTTTACCTATAAATTTGTGCAAAAGATTGCGGGGAGGAGGGATTTTTTTTTTTTTAAAGACATGATTCATATCTTCAGATATGTTAACTATTTTTTAAAGACATAACCAGACTCTCAAAACTCATTTTTACAAAGCAATTTATCAACAAGTTAACAATGAATATATTGAGAATAAACTTATGTCACTGTCAAGGGAACATCAAGTAGTATTTAGGTATTTGGAATCATATCAGATTGGAGGCTTTCTAGAGTAGTCAAATTTTTACTGATTTCAGAAGAGAAGATCTAATGGGCCCAACTCTCCTCTGCTGAAACAATGACTCTCAACTGGCTGTGTAGACGGTGGCTAAGGACATGAGTGCTTACTGTTTATGTTCCATCCGGGTTCCACCACTACCAGCTATGTCACCTTGGACAAGAAACACAGCCTCTTTTGGGCCTCAGTTTTCTCATCTGAAAAATTAAGACAATATTGGCACCTGCTTCAACAGGGTTGTTCACATAAAGTGCACAGAACAATACCTGGCACAAAATAAGCACTCAATAACACTCAATAAGTGTTAGCAGCTGTCATTATGATCACTTTTATTATAATTAGACTCAGGGACAATTCCAGCTGCCCTTCCTACAGATCCCAAACCTGGTGCTGGGGGCTCCGGAGAGGAACAATAGGGAAGAGCATCTGTCCTGAACCACCTCCCTTTTGAGGCCCCCATTTTCCTCTCCACCCTGGCCTGCCCAGCCTCAGCCTTCCTTCCTGTAGATGTCAGGCAGTGATGCTCTTCCCCTCAGGCCTAGAAAAAGGTAGAGTGAACAAGATGCAGCTACTGAGCTTGCAGAAGTCAGCACTGGGCACCAGGCTGACAAGGGCACAAGGTGATGAGGGAGCATAAGTTAAGCTGAGGACAAAGTACAAGCTAGCCTCCTGGGCCACTCCCCCCCACCCCAGGTGGAATATATGTGCTATTCCTCAGACACTCCTGGCTACCCAAGAACAAAGGAAAGGGGCTTAAGTGCTTACCATGGTGATGTGGGAAACAAAGGCAAATGAAAAATTAAACTCCCTTACTGCCTACAGCCCATTGACAAGTCCTTGAAACAGGCAGAGTGACCTTCCTCTAGAGCTCAGCTGCCTCGATGATGACACTTTGCTATGGGCAAAAGAGAATCTTAGCTTAACATTATCCCAACCCCCAGGATCCTGTAAGTCTACTTTAACATATAAAAATTCCTTTGGAAACTTCCTTTATCTCAACTCCCCCAAGATATATGCTGGCAATCATACCCCAAGCTTATGGTCCTCTGATATACATCTGAAGGGTCTCATGACTGAGATTTTACTAAATGGTAATAAATGGCATTTTCCTAACAGTAGCTGGCCCCTTGAAGTCCTGGAAAGCTTGCTTCCAAAATTCCTTGGAGACTTACTCTGTCCCTAACCCCCTCCCAATCTGAGGGTATATAATCAGTTACCCGTAGCAACCCCAGTGCAGCTCTTCCTGCCCACGGGTCCTGTCCCCGTGCTTTCATAAAATCACCTTTTTGCACCAAAGACGTCTTCAAGAATTCTTTCTTGGCCGTCAGCTCTGGACCACCCCACCATCACCCCAAAACTTCATCACAAGGTATGGTGCTGAACGTATAACACTGCCTTGTACATGGCTACAAGATGAGTGTTTGCAAAGCATAACAGAATTTTGAAAAGGTGAGGCAATGGACAGTAAAAGGCCCGGCTGCAGCTTCACCTGTCCTCTTATTCTCTCCTCCAAGGTAGCGGGGACTCATCTCTGGAGAAGGAGTTCCTTGGGGCCCCGGTGGGGCCCTCGGTGAGCACCCCCAACAGCCAGCACTCTTCTCCCAGCCGCTCACTCAGTGGTAAGTGCAATCTCCTGCCCTGCCCTGGCACTAGGCACCCTGTTTGTGTTTGGCCCTCAGTTCACCCTCCACTGGCAGCCATTTCCCCATTGCTGCCTCCCTCTGGTTTCCTGCATACAGCCTCTAAAACACTAAGGAGTTCAGCATCTAGGGTCCTTCTGACTTCTGGAAGGAGAGTGAATGGTCTCTGCCAGACAAGGGTAGAATTAAAAGAAGCACGGGTGGGATTAAGCTAAAGTCTCCAAAGAGAAACCCTGGAGTTGGAGAAGCAAGGACATAGGAATGGTCACAAGCTAGAGTCAGTCAGGAAATAGAGATGAGAGGGATCTTCTCATCACCACCAACCCAGCCCCACCCCCATTCTCCTGCCCGGACAGGGTCCCCATTACTGCCTCTTCTAGCTGGCCCTAGATCTGTGACATTCTCTAAATGGTTGGAATAGCCAGGAATGTAGGTCAGAGCTAGAGCCAAAGCTTACTCCTCAGTGGCTCCTCCCTCCTTCATCCCCCTCTCCAGATTTTAATGGAGGGGAGTAGAGGGGGTTCACTCTTATGGGGAGGGAGGATAATGTGAGCCATGTCTGTCTTCCAGTTTTGCTCTCTCTTTAGCCTGCCATCTCTTTGGTCTTCCTAGGACCATTTTCCCGCCACTGTTACTTGCTGGCTTCCTGCCCAGGGCCAAGCCAGACGTCTTTCTTTATGACAAGAGAGTGGAGAAAAAGGCTCTCCTTAGCCTCCTCCTCTCCCCAGTGGGACAGAAGACATCCAGTGTACCCCAACTTCTTTCTCTTGAAGCCTATTTGCCTGGGTGGTGAGATAGGAGGAAAAGGTTGTTTCAGGTCCCAGCAGGAGTGCCGTATCACCACCGAGGATACCGAGGGTATTGGCCACTTTTAAAGCCCACGTGTCTCAGGGCCGGGAGAAAGCCTTCTGGACATTGGGAGTGACATTCTGGTCTGCGGGCAGGTTCCCCCCTTTGCCTGTCTCTGTCCTAAACACCATCCCACCCTTCAGCCAACTCCATCAAGGTGGAGATGTACAGCGATGAGGAGTCGAGCAGACTGCTGGGGCCAGATGAGCGGCTCCTAGAAAAGGACGACAGTGTGATCGTGGAAGACTCGTTGTCAGAGCCCCTGGGCTACTGTGATGGAAGTGGGCCAGAGCCTCACTCCCCCGGGGGCATCCGGCTGCCCAATGGCAAGCTCAAATGTGATGTCTGCGGCATGGTCTGTATCGGACCCAATGTGCTCATGGTGCATAAGCGCAGCCACACGGGTGAGTAAGCCAGGGGGTTGAGGAGGAGCTCCCAGGGTAGGCTGGAAAAGCAGAGGCCCACAATGCAGTGGGACAGCCTCAGAAAGGGAAGAGTCTCTCCCAGCACATTTTCTAGCCAATGAAAGAAAGGGGGGATGGCGTTTGGATTCCCTCCACACTGTACTTCTTTGGCACTCTCATCAGCTGTTGTTATAAAGAAAAACTGGTATTTTTCTCAGGAGGTGAGGGAGAGGTAGATGTAGCCTCAGGATGAATCCTACAGCCCAACAGGGGTAGGACCCTGTTTGGGCCCTGTTGATTTAGACAAACAAACATACACAAACAAAGAAAAGGAAAACAAAAGCCTCTTCTCAGCTTTCTCAGCCTTTGGGCTCCAGGGGCAGAGTGGGTCTTATAAGGCTCGGTTTTGGGTTAATGATCTTTTGGCCCAGAGTTCCAGGCCTGGTGCCCTTTGCCCTGCCATTCATCCTGATCCACACCTTCCCAGGGTAAGTCTCTTCCCAAGGGAATCTTTAGAAAGCAGGAATTTCCTGTGCGTGCCACAGCTCTGCCTCTCAGTAATTGTTCTGAGCATCGTCCCTTAGGCAGGGTGGGGCAGAGGGTGACAGAAGAGGTTCAGCCTTCAAAATTCCTCACATGCAGTCCTCAGAGATCTGTTCTTTCTCTTGCAGGTGAAAGGCCCTTCCACTGCAACCAGTGTGGCGCCTCCTTCACCCAGAAGGGGAACCTGCTGCGCCACATCAAACTTCACTCTGGGGAGAAGCCTTTCAAATGTCCCTTCTGTAACTACGCCTGCCGCCGGCGCGATGCTCTCACTGGCCACCTCCGCACACACTCGGGTCAGTTACCTATTTAGGGGGAAGGAAGAGTGGGACCTCAGTACACCCAGAAAATAGAGCTCAGTGACCTCTCTGACATTTGGGGAGTTACAGTGTCTGTCACTGAGGAGGGCAGAGCACTCACAGAGCAGATAGGGCCCTGCCTCTCTCACCCCTCGTCTGGGCAGCAGGGCCCCATGGGGAATTTGGGGGACTCTTTGGTGAGGTATTTTACATCTGCCACACTGTGACTTGGAGCAAAAGGAGCAGGGGTGATTTTCTTGGCTCTTAACAGTCACTCGCCCTTTGTTTTTTAAAGTTTCGTGCTAATGCCAGAACCATCTGTGCCTTGTCACCCCCCCACACACACATAATTCTAAGCATCAGGAAAACCCTTCCTCATACTCCCCTGTGCTCGAGGCCCCACACTCATCACCATCATCACCTCCCTCCAGAATACCAGACGTCTCGGACAACCACTCTCTGTCCTCTCCTTTACTTCCTACTGGTTCCTGAAAATAGCCATGGTCCTCCAAACTGGGAGAAAGGTAGCCTAGGAAAAACCTCTGTTCCCCATCCCAAGAGGTTGTCACCTTCCCAGAGGCAAGAACAAGTCATGAGGGTGTCTAGAGGGTAGTGTTTGGATCAGTGCCAGCGAACCAGACTACCCGGGTTTCCTACCCCAGCCAAGACTGTTTGAGTCAACATCTGTCTGAATCAGCTGCACAGATAGCACTTTTGAAGCATCTTACTAAATTTTAAGTTTTTGACTTGGCCTTGTGAAGAGGCCGGGAGTCACGCTGGCAGGAAGGAGGAGCTCAAGAGTGGGGAAAGGCTGGAAGAAGGGCAGAGGGAAAAAATTAGTAGGATTTGTCCTTGGAAATGTTCCTTGCTGTTTTTCTCTTTTCCCAAACTCTCTCAGGCCAGGATGTAAGGGGACAGAGCAATCACCTCATCACCCTTTTCCCAGCCACCTACCGTGTTCTAGGTTCTCTCACCTTGGAGGTGAGTAGAGAAACAGGGAGAAAGGTCATCGTTGATTCAGGCTTTATAATCCACAAAGCATTTTGCTTGTTTTTTCATGTGATCCTCATAACGCCTCTAAGGTAGATGGCATTATCCTTGTTTTGCTGACAAGGATACTGAAACTCTGGGGGAGAAAGAAAGGAAGAAAAAAAAAGATTTGCTGGTCACAGAGCTATCCTGCAGCCTTCCTGGACCCCTATAAATGTTCTATGTCAAAGAATCCTACTCCTTTTCCTCAGAAAAGGGGCGGCTCCCCCTGCTGGTTTGGAACAAGGATGGCTTCTCCCTAGAATTCTTGAACCAATAGCAATGAGGCCAGCTGGGTAAATTTTGGATGTTGTTCTGTAGGAGACTTATTAGGGACAGAATTAGACGCAGGTATACCACTGGGTCCCATCTCTGTGATATGCTTTCTGTTATAACCCACACTATAATGAAAAAAGGGGCTCCTCTCCCAGATGTTAAACCATTTCCCCCAAAGTCTTGAGTGGACAGGGACCATGGCATTCACCTCATCTCCCAAATACTAGGATTTACAGAGAAAGGTCAAAATGGCATTAGACTGATTGAATCAAGGCCCAGTTTATGGGGGTGTGTGTGTGTGTGTGTGTGTGTGTGTGTGTGTGTGTGTGAGTGTGTGTGTGTAAGGGCCGCGCGGCTAGTATTACCAGCCTCCTGGAGACACCTCCTATCTTCCTGCTCAATAGTAGCAAGATACATAAAATAAAATATACAGTACCTTGTTTCTCTCACTTTCCTTCTCCTGTCACAAATATCATCTCTCAAAAGTTGTCTTTAAATGAAGTGTCCATCTCAGTTTTCCTGACTTCTTCAGTAGAAACAAAATCTTCTTTTTTTTCTTTAAGTAATCTGTACAGTCACCATGGGGCTTGAACTCACAACACTGAGATGAAGGGTCGCATGCTCTCCCAACTAAGCCAGCCAGACACCCCAGAAAAAATCTTTATAACTTGTTCTTTATTTTTAAAAAAATTTTAAAGGCCCTCAAAGTTGTTGTTTCTGTTCCTTTTACTCATCTCCTTTATTCTCCTCTCTGTCCTTTTATTCTTTTTCTCTTCTCGGAATTTCTCTATCAGTGATAGTTGTTCTGGGGCTCTCTTGGTATCTCAGTGTAGAGGGACAGAAAAATAAGCAGTAGAGGTGCCTGGCTGGCTCAGCTGGTGAAGCATGTGACTCTTGATCTTGGGGCTGTAAGTTCTAGCCCCAGATTACTTAAAAATAAAATCTGAAAGGAAGAAAGAAAGAGAGGGAGAGAGAGAGAGGGAGAGAGGAAGGGAGGGAGGGAGGAAGAAAGAAAGAGAGGGGGAAAGGGAGGGTGGGGGGGAGGGAGGAAGAAAGAAAGGAAGAAAAGCAGTAAAACTAGGCTAAGGATGGAGGTAAAAGTATAAGTAAAGGTCAGTGAGAACTGTCCCTCCCCCCATTGACAGATCTAAGGGCTCTCATTTCTGTCACCCCAGGTCACCAATTTCCCTCAAACCGAAGCAGATAACTCATAAGCAAAAAATCCCCTTGTCTGATAAACAGCACTTACACCCGCTTGCCACATGGAAAGGTTAAACCACAGTCTGGGCCCCAGAATCTGAGACCCTGGGGTGGGGCCAGCCTGCCTGCCAGGGACGATCCCCTACAAAGTCCCTGGGTCCTCCCTTCCGTTTTTAGCAGCAGTTTGGCCATTGTGAGGCCCACCAGCAGTCCAAAGCTATATGCCCTGGCTCCCCTCTGTCCTCCCATAGCTGCGCACTGGCCCTCTTCTCCACAGTTCGGTTATCTGTCCATGCTTGCAGCTGGAGTCAGGGAAGGAAAGACAAGCCGAACTCACCTGAGCGACATCCCTTCCTCCTCAAGCCCATGAGCCTTTGCTCCTGGATGGTTTTGTAGAGCCAGGGTACAGGGAGAAGTAACTCATGCCATCCGTCTCCCGTCTCCTCCACAGTCTCCTCTCCCACGGTGGGCAAGCCCTACAAGTGTAACTACTGTGGCCGGAGCTACAAACAGCAGAGTACCCTGGAGGAGCACAAAGAGCGGTGCCACAACTACCTACAGAGTCTCAGCACTGAAGCCCAAGCTCTGGCTGGCCAAGCAGGTAGGGCTGTAGGCAGGCCTGTGGGGGAGTTGAGGGCTGGGTCAGAGGGAGTGCAGGACCAGGATGATTCCAGCATCTACCCCCTCTTCACAAAGGGATGCGATCTGTGGAAAAAGGACAGTTACCTCAGTAAATCTGCCAAGCCCTCCAGTCGGTGCAAAGCCCTGTGGTAGGTGCTGCAGGGAGATCCAGGGGTCAGAGAGGATTTGATCTATGTCCTCAGTGTAATGGGAGAGAGAAAACACAAGGAAGTATAAAATCAAGGGTCACATGTACATAATTGTCCTCAAGTTACTTGAAATGTTGCTAGGATGAGCTCTGGATGGGCGGGGAGTGAGCAGAACCTAGTTTTCCAGGTATCGGGTATGACCTTCCTTGGCTACCGACCTGCTGATTTTCTCCAGGCAAAGGCTGCTGGGCTAATGCTACCCCCATTCAGCTATTACTTATCTCCACCTCCTTCTCCCCAGGTGATGAGATACGTGACCTGGAGATGGTGCCAGACTCCATGTTGCACTCATCCTCTGAGCGGCCAACCTTCATTGATCGGCTGGCCAACAGCCTCACCAAACGCAAGCGTTCCACCCCCCAGAAGTTCGTAGGTAAGAATCCTGTTGGAGAGAAGACATCAGCTTTAAGCCACAGCTCATCTAAATCTGAGCTCTGGTAGCCATTTGACCAGCTAGGTCTGGAGATTTGATTTGGAAAAGTGGTCTGGTAGTCTCTGGTGCTCAGAAAACATCCCCAGAGAACAGGAGGGGAGTGAAGAGGGAGAAGGTACCTCAGGAGGGTGGAGAGGGGTCAGTGTTGAGGGGTCTTGTGGTAGTTGTAAGAGGAAGGGGTCAGGGAGCTCAGGTTCTTACAGGTTCTGAGAATAGCAAGGACTTCAGCCTGTGGGAACTGAGAGAATGACTCTTAGTGTCAGAGGGAGGAGGTGTGAGTGTGGGGTCCACCCATCTGGCCTTGATTGTTCACTCTCTAGCTTTATAAAGAGTAATGAAGGAAGTTTTAAAGATCAGTGGGCTGGGACTGAGTCCTTCCCTAAGATTATAGCCTGGAGTTGGGGAGTGGCCCCAAAGAGGACCTGACCTTGAGGGAAGTAAATGAGGGGTGGTAAATAATATTACAGCCATCCCCATGGTAAGAAAACAAAGAAGTAATCCTGGAGGAGCTTGGGAATTCTCCAAACCCAGCTCTGCTGAGGTCCTCTTCTCCACAGGTGAAAAGCAGATGCGTTTCAGCCTCTCAGACATCCCCTATGATGTGAACTCGGGTGGCTATGAGAAGGATGTGGAGTTGGTAGCACATCATGGCCTGGAGCCTGGCTTTGGAGGTTCTCTGGCCTTTGTGGGGGCAGAGCATCTGCGTCCCCTCCGCCTTCCACCTACCAATTGCATCTCAGAACTCACACCCGTCATCAGCTCTGTCTACACCCAGATGCAGCCCCTCCCCGGCCGACTGGAGCTTCCAGGGTCCCGAGAAGCAGGTGAGGGACCCGAGGACCTGGCCGATGGAGGTCCCCTCCTCTACCGGGCCCGAGGCCCCCTGACCGACCCTGGGGCATCCCCCAGCAATGGCTGCCAAGACTCCACAGATACAGAGAGCAACCACGAAGATCGGGTTGGGGGGGTGGTATCCCTCCCTCAGGGTCCCCCACCCCAGCCACCTCCCACCATTGTGGTGGGCCGGCCCAGTCCTGCCTACGCCAAAGAGGACCCCAAGCCACAGGAGGGGTTACTACGGGGCACCCCAGGCCCCTCCAAGGAAGTGCTCCGGGTGGTGGGCGAGAGTGGTGAGCCCGTGAAAGCCTTCAAGTGTGAGCACTGCCGAATCCTTTTTCTGGACCATGTCATGTTCACCATCCACATGGGCTGCCATGGCTTCAGAGACCCTTTCGAGTGTAACATCTGTGGTTACCACAGCCAGGACCGGTACGAATTCTCTTCTCACATTGTCCGGGGGGAGCACAAGGTGGGCTAGCCACCTGCTGCCCTCCCCTCAGTCCGCCACTCCACTGCCCTGCCTACACGAGTCTAGCTCTGTCCCCACTACATCCCAAGGAGTTTTGCTCGGTAGCCCCCACCACTGGCTACCTGACTTCATACTTGACCCTGACCCCTCTTCACCTATTCTCCTCTACCCTGACTGATTTAAGCATTGTGATGAAACAGGCTTTTTTGCTTACATTTCTCCTTTTCCTCTTTTCCTCTCATCCCAGCATATTCAGAGTTATTTATTAATACAATTTGTGGATGTTTCTTTTGCTTTTTTCTCTTAACTTGTATCAGTCGCTTGCCACTTCCCCCACCCTCCTGCCCACAGTCCCTTTCCACTTTAGACCTCATTTTTTTTTCTTTGATCCAGCTTTCTCTAACAGCCCTAGGGGCAGGAAGCTCCTCTTAGTCCTAAGAGTTCTGAGCTTCTTGTGTTAATTCCTCACCTTTTGCTTTATCTGATTCTTCAGTTTTGATGCTGATAGCTCCCTCTGGCCCTCCGTTTGCTCTGTGGCATTATATCTCCTCTCTGGGACCCTCCAACCTGGTACTCCATACCTCTTGTGCCCTCTCACTTTAGGCAGCTTGCACTATGCTTGAAAAAATGAAGCTTTCCTCATTTGGAAGTAGGAGGGGCTGAAGAAATTCTCCCCAGGCACTGTGGGACTGAGGGTCCTCTTGATGTTCCCCTAGTAACGTGAGTTCCCCAAAGCCCACATTCGGGAATCTCCCTCTGGGATGTGATCTATCTCTTCTCTCCTCAAACAACCCCCAACACAGCTACTCTCTTCAACCTCCTCGTCTACTCAGTGGTGGTTTTTCTCTCCTTGGAGTGCCCCAATTTTATATTCTCAGGGGCCAAGGCTAGGTCTGCAATCCTGTCTCTGACACGTTGGGAGCCACAGGTGCCTAATTGGGAACCAGGGCATGGGAAGGGGGTGGTTTAAAATTCTTCTCTTTCTCTTCCACCTCTAAACTTCTTCACTCTAGTGACCTTCCTAGGCTCTCAGGGGCTCCTACAGTCCTTGTCCTATGAGAAACTAGTGGGTTGCTGCCTGATGACAAGGGGCATCTCAACCCCTCAGTCATGCTGCCTTCTTCTTCTCCCCGCAACCCCCTGCAAGATTCACCCTCATTCCCAGGCTTCTGGGCCCTGTTCTTAAGATCAGTGGCAGGGAGAAAAGGGTGTCTCTTTTCTCTCTTCTAATTTTCAGTATAACCAAAAAATTATCCCAGGATGAGGAAGGGCATTTGCCCCTCACCTTATTCCATTCTTGTCCCGGCAAGAATGGGATGGGCACAACTGAACTGGGGGTCATCCTTTACTGCCCCCTTCTATACTCAGTTCCCAGATGTAGGGCAGGAGGGGGCACTCTCCTCCTGGCTACAGCAGAGACCCCCTGGCTTTTTGGGTAACCTAGTTAGTGAGAAGGGGGCAGGAGGAGATAGCTCTACTGCAAGTGGAGGTCTCTTTCTACAAGCGTTTTCTGCCCCCAGGCCACAGCTATCCCATTCTCTGCTTCCTTGAGATTCAAACCAAAGGCTGTTTTTCTATATTTAAAGAAAAAAAGAAAAAAAAGAAAGTAAAAACCAAACACAACACCTCACAAGTTGTAACCCTTGGTCCTCTCTCTCTCTCCTTTTCTCTTCCCTTCCATCTTTCTTTCCATATGTCCTTTCCTTATTGGCTCTTTTGCCTCCTACTTTTCTCACTCCCTATCAGGGATAATTTAGGGGGATGGTGAAGGGTTGGCTAAGGAACAGACCCTGGGATTGGGGCTCCAAAGGGCTCTAAGAAGAGTCTACCTTACCCTCTTATGGGAAGGGAGACCCTAGAAAAACTTCTCCTCTTTTTCCTCCTTTTTCTCCCCCATTATGTAGTCTCCCTGAGAGAACCAGATTGTCAGGAAGGGGCATTGTGGGTTGATTGTTCCTCCCAATGTAGCAATAAACAGATGCTGCCAAGGGCAGAGGATGGGGGAGTTAACTGGAAGGAGAGTGGTCTCTAGATAAGGGGAGAGTCTTCTCAACAGCACCCTAGGGAACTGGCTCCTTGTTTCAGGATGGCAGCAGAGCTGAGATTAATATCTAGGGTTCTCCTCAACTGTTCTGGTTATTGAGCCCCTTCCTGTTAAACTTACCCCTCACCACCTCTTCTGCGTCTGCTGTGTACTTGGTGACACCTCATAAGGACTAGTCCCTTCTGAGGTATCAGAGCCTTAGGGTGCCCCCATCCCCTCCCCCAGTCAGCTCTGGCACCTGTAACCTCCTGGAACATGAAGGACTATGCTCTGAGGCTATACTCTGAGCCCATGAGAGCAGAGACTGGAAGGGCAAGACCAGGTGCTAAGGAGGGGAGAGAAGGGCACTCTGTCTCTCTCCAGACCATCACTGCACTTTAACCAGGGTCTTAGGTACAAAATCCTACTTTCCAGAGCCTTCCAACTCTGGAACCTCAAACATCCTCATGCTCTCTCCCAGCTCCTTTTGCATAAAAAAAAAAAAAAAAAAAAGTAAAGAAAAAGAAAAAAAAACCCACATTGAAACCCACATGGAGAAAAGAGGTGTTTTCCTTTTATACTGATATTCAAAACCAACACCACACACAAAAAGTTTCTAAATAGACACTTTTCCAGACCTTTGTTTTTTTGTGTCAGTGTCCAAGCTGTGGATGGGATTTTGTAATACTTCCAGCAGCTTCTTTCTTTGTGTACATAATATATATATATATTATATATATTTTTAATCAGAAGTTATGAAGAACAAAAAGAAAAAAAAAAATAAAACACAGAAGCAAGTGCAATACCACCTCTCTTCTCTTTCTCTCCCAGGGTTTCATTTGTAGCCTATGCTTGGTGTCTCCTTGGACCTTACCCTTTCACCTCCTCCTCTTCCTTTGGTTTCCTCCAACCCCCTTTTTTAAAGAGTTTTTCTCCTTTCTCAAGGGGAGTTAAACTAGCTTTTGAGACTTATTGCAAAGCATTTTGTATATGTAATATATTGTAAGTAAATATTTGTGTAACGGAGATATACTACTGTAAGTTTTGTACTGTACTGGCTGAAGGTCTGTTATAAATAAACATGAGTAATTTAACACCCTTGGTTGTTTTTGTAGACTTCCTTTGCTGTAACTTTCTGCTGGGAGGAAGGGGGGCCTCCTTGCTGTATATTGTACTAACTGCTAAACGTTTTGAAGGTGAACAAGTCTAAGACTAAGAGGAAGCCAAATAAGAATGCTCAAGTTGTTCCCACAGAAGAACAGATTTTTCGACCTACAGTGGGAAGTGGAGATTTTCCTACCAGGAGTGCCTTCAGGATAGAGAAAGCCCAGCTTGCCTATCCGTCCAAAGTAGAGATTCATCAAACATTTGTAGAGTACCTACTATATGCAAAACACATTACATGCCTAGGGAGATACAAGTTACAATAACATGAGAGATTAAAACAATAGGATCTACCACTTCCTGAGCACCTCATAAATGCCAAGCGCTGTGCCAAGTATTCATTTAATAGTAGAAACCACCTACAAATAAATGATCCACCATTACTAGTGAAGAAATAAAAACCCAGAAGAGAATAAATAACTTGCCCGAGACTCATCAGCCAATAAATGTCAAAACCCAGATTTGAACCCAGGAGTGTGTAACTCCAAAGTCTGTGTCCATACCTTTATGCCAGGAAATGCAGCCACTGAAACTCCTAGGTTATAAAAATCCAAAGAAAAGCCAAGATAGGAACATTAACTTGATTCTTAAATCTTAACTATTTTCTGTCCCCTTCACGCTGCACTTTTTTCTGTTTTATCTCACTGCCAGTCCATACACTAACGTCTGCCTTCTGTTTCCCATGAGACTATATTGAAGTGAAAATTGAAGACACTTCCATCTAAAGTCTATCATTTTCTGTGCCTCATTAAAACTAACAAATTCAAAATTGGGAGAGACCATGAATATAGTTGTTCTGAATCCAAAACAAAGTTAGAAAATAAATTTTAACCCCAATAAATTGGATTAGAGATTAAAAGAAACTGAAAGAAAAGAAAAAACAAAACAAAACAAAACACGATGGGTTTCTTTTGAGAGAAAGTAACTGGTGTTCAGACTCCAGAATGATCCATGAATGAATTGTGGATCTCCATCTGTACCATCTTGGGTCTGAATTCTGGGAGGTCCACTTGACACTCTAATTTTTTCATATTTGGAGACAACTGGGTGGTTGGCCGCCCATGGATAGCATTCCGGCTCAAAGCTGAAGACTTTCTGAAGACTCTTCAGAGGTAATTGGAACTTATATGAATGAAAGTATGTTTCAACCATAGGCCAAACTCATCACGGGAGTGATGAAATCACTTCAGTGGGGCTTGGTCAACATTTATTAAAGCAAAGTATAAAATAGAACATATCATTGCACTTTACGTCCTAAGGCAAGTACTGTTTCATGAAGTCTGTGTTTGCGTTTTGTAGGTTTGTGTATTTGTGTTTGTGTTTGTATTAAGTACCAACGTAAAATATATTTCTACTATGGGTGGAGTAAAAATTGTTGAAGTTACTGTTCCAGACTATATACCAGCATCCATTTTTTGTTGTTGTTAGGTGGGAGGCAGCATAGTGGAATGGAGCCAGGACACCACCTACTAACTCTGTGACTTTTCGGCAACCTCAGTTTTAACGGCTCTACACCTCAGTTTTTCAATCTGCAAAGTGAAGATAATAATAGTACCTCCCTTATAGGTTTGTTGAAGGTAAAATGAGTTAATATTTATAAAGCGCTTACTACAGCGCTTGACACTATGCTAACAGGATCCAGGGATTTTTTTTTTTAAGTGAATAAAAAACAGCCCTAACACCCACGTACTTCCCAACGGCCCTTCAAAGGGTTTTGTCCGTATTGGAAAGAAGAATTAACAAAACGTTTTGTTCCCCAACCCACTCCCGTCCTTCGTTTCTCAATCCCACACCAAGGACTATGACTGTCAGAGAAATAAGCCGAGAGCGTCCCCCGGTGGCATAGCTCCGCTTTCGCTCTAAGGGTCGCAGCCAAGGGCCTGCCACCTTCGCACTACAACTCCCATGCATCCTGCCAACTCTGACCTTTAATAGTACGGTTTGTGGTCTAGTCCCGGGCAATACCTGTGTATAGCGTCGCAAAAACCGGATAATTACAACGCCCAGAATTACTTCCGGGGTAGGGTGCCGTGGTGCTTGGTGGGAAACGTATAACCCTAATTTTCTTCCGCCAGCTGGTTAAATAGTCCCATGGTCACTGTCTGCCACGGATAACTAAGCTCGAGAAACGCCTTTCTACCCTAGATTGCAGCGTAAACGCGGGATGATAAAGAAAGTTTGAGTAAAGTGGGTGGCCGTTCTTGGTATGTGTCTCCTAAATAGTCTTCCTGTGTGAGCGGAGGGATTTCGTACTATATAAAAGAGCCGGGCTGAGCTCAACGTCCTCTCTCGGGGTCTCGTTTCCAAGATGGTGAGTAGTGGCGCGTGGTGAGTGCGGGTGTCCTAGTGAGGACCGAGAAAAGCAGATTTGGGGGGGTTGGGGATTTCAAAACCTGGGCCATGGTGGGGAGGACACAGAGTGTGTATATTTGTTCCGAACTTGGAGGGATTTGCGGACGGACTGAAGGTCTCAGTGGAGCCTTTTTAGGGGCTGCCGGCGAGGATTGAAGCTGGTAGGAGGCTAAGGTTGGGAAAGTTGCGTCCCCTTTATAATAAAGACCTTCATTCTGATGCAGACCAAGAAAAGAAGGAACAATGGTCGTGCCAAAAAAGGCCGCGGCCACGTGCAGCCTATTCGCTGCACCAACTGTGCCCGTTGCGTCCCCAAGGATAAGGCCATTAAGAAGTTCGTTATCCGGAACATAGTAGAGGCCGCCGCGGTCAGGGACATTTCTGAAGCGAGTGTCTTCGACGGTGAGTGAGCTCTTGGCGCAGCCCTTCCCCACTTACAGGCTCTTTTCGTCGGCGCGTTTCTGCCGCGTCCCAGGTACCTTCTATGCACATTTAGAACTGTTGGCGGTTAACAGAGAACGGTATTTTTATTATGTATTGTTCCTTTTTTGTTTGTTTTTTGGGGTTTTTTTTCACCCTTGACTGGGCGGTGTCTTTTATAATAGTGCAGTCTTTGGGTCATCGTTTGTGGCTCTTTAGAGAGTGAGATTCTAATGTAAATGTAGCAACCTTCACGGATTGTTGAAGAACGTTTGAATACTTACGAAAATGTACAGACTAAGTCTTTTGAATAATGTTTCAAGAATGAAGGTAGTCTCATTTGGTCAAAGGTAGACTTTTTATAGCAATAGGCTTCTTGTGGTTTTGGTCACTTTTTCTTACAACAAATCAGTCTTCCTAGGGAAGGAAAAGGGGCCCAAGGGACAGACAGTGGGATTGGTGCAACTGTTGAAGGAACTGGATTGATTCTCTGTTTATTACATGTAGGCTGTGGATTTGGTACCCATGATGACAAGATGGGTTAGTGTAGGGGTCCGGGAGTGTTCATTTGTGAAAATGCGGGTGTGTTAAATTATCAGAAACTGAACAGTTGCTTTCCAAGTGCAACTTTGTAGCTATACATGAGAGACACTTAACTCTTTGTTTTTAACTGATAGAATGAAGGAGAGAACAAGTGCAAAGTGGGTATGATATCTACTGTTATGCCTCTTACTTTCTGTCTCTTAGCCTATGTGCTTCCCAAGCTGTATGTGAAACTGCATTACTGTGTGAGTTGTGCCATTCACAGCAAGGTAGTCAGGAATCGCTCTCGTGAAGCACGGAAGGACCGAACACCACCACCCAGATTTAGACCTGCCGTAAGTATCCTGAAAAAGATGTGGGAGGCAGAAGGGTGATGGACAGAAGATAACATGAAGATCCAGGGAATATCAAATTAAGCCCTAAGTAGGTATGGTAGATGTAAAACGTCTGCTTTTGAAGTCTCTTCTAAAGAAGAATTGTTAGAGTCCCTTTCCGGTGGAGTAATGTGAATGGTGCACACCTACCAGTTTTCCTTGTATCTATGGCCCAAGTGCATTGTCAGTGCTGGGAGGGTAGTTGTCAAGTTGTTTGAGGGGATATTCTTTCATTGATGTTTTTAAAATTTATTCTTTGTTTTTTTCCCCTCCCCAGGGTGCTGCCCCACGACCTCCACCAAAGCCTATGTAAAGAGTTAAGTCCTTAAGGATTGAAGAAAAACTGTTCTCTGGAAAAATAAAATAAAACAGAGATTGTACTTTATAAATAGCATGTTGAGTGTATCTGTTGTCAGAGTGGGAGTTGTATGTGTCACAAGTACTGTAATTACTTTCCATTCAAGTGTGGAGTGCTACATGGTCTTTTCATGGGGGAGAGAGTTTATCCATGTAAGTAAAACCTTAACTTGGTTTCTTTTGTATTTGTATCCTGGGCCTCCCCAACTTGCATAGCATTGTGGGGGGTGGAGGTAGGGTTAAAGGTACCTCTGGGTGTTAAGTCAATGCCACCATGCATAGTGGATTAAGTTGGTGTCTTAAAAACGGGTGACGAGGGGTGCCCTGTCTAGGTGGCTCAGTCGGTGGCGTCTGACTCCGTTTCGGCTCAGGTCATGATCTCGTGTTTCGTGAGTTTGAGCCCTGGCATCAGGCTCAGCACTGCTGGTGCCAAGCCTACTTGGGATTCTCTCCCTGTTTTCCCCTCCCTTGTTCACAGGTGCTCACTCTCTTTCTCTCATAGGATAAGGAACTAGGAGGGTAAGGGAAAACGAGTGAGGAGTACATCAGGAGATGCTTTAGACTAAGGTTGTTTACCTCTAATGGGGGACATAAAAAGACTTTAACAGGAAGTACATAACTTGGATAGCTTTTCAGAGGATCTGTATTTCAGATCCTTTATAAAATTAACCTTTTTTGGGATTGGTCTGCTGCTGGGCTTGTTTTTGGCCAGCTTTCACCTTTCTATGGTGTATTTCTCTGTGGAGTAAAGATGTGCAGGATACCAGAAGCATTCCTGGGAACTTGTAGTCCCACAAGAGAAAAGAATTTCCATACAAAGTATGGAAGAAAGCTGTATTTTACTTTGTGTGTCAGTGGGTCGTTTTTTTCTGGAGTTCAGAAATTAGA